GGCGCTTAAAAAAAGTAGCAAAAAATTCTGTGCTTACGTTAAATCCTATTTCACGGGTTAGCGAGGAATTTTGGCTTATGCGCATGCGTACATCCCGTAACTAAGGATTCCGTGCTTACGGGGTTAGCGCATAATTTTTCCACTAGCACGGTTAGCACAGAATGGTGATTTAAGCGCAGGATTCTGCAGTAAGCAGCGCCATGAAATCGGGCCCTGTTCATGTAAATATTAGATCATGTTTGTGTACTGTACATTTAGCGTATCGATATATTATTAAAAAGGCCTAATACCTTTGAAATGAGAAGTTTGGAAAGTTTTTAATGAGTAGGGCCTGTTGGCCCTATGTCTTTATTTAATACTTAAGTTGTACCCACAATTGTACAAGTCATTACAGAATGTCTTTAAATTAATTCAAGAAATGAAACCAAGGAAAACAGTCGACAGCCTATGTAGTACTAGCTAGGCCTACTACTAGTACTAGTATCACCCTATGGGGTGAGCCTAGCTAGCTATGCGTGTAAAACATGCATGTAATTTAGACATTGTACATGTATACATACATGTATGCACTTTCGCACGCACGCATGGGTGCGTATTCCCGCGACGTATACGTACATGTACATGTACATCAACGTACATACATTTGTACGTGTACATGTACAATGTACACAATGCACGGTACACGTGCAGCGCACAAGTGGTTAGGAACAATCGAGTTTTTTAACCGAAATTTTCTCAAAAACTGTTCATTGCCCACACTTACTTTCTCTTGTAAGTCACGATGATGTCTTGGTTTACCACAGCACTCGCTCTGGGGATTTGTGAAAAAATCCAGAAACCTGTTTAAAACTCGTATTTCTGGGACAGATTTCTGTCCGGAGTTATTCGTTTCTGGAAACCGCCACGTTGAGGAATTTGTACCCATGTGACCACGCTTCGTTTATGTAAACTAGATTGACCCCAAAAATTCATTAAACATGAGTATATTTAAATGTTGCATATTCAATTAGGTTCTCTCAACCAATCAGGCAGCCAGAAATCGCGTAGGTCAAAATTTGCATCCCGACGAAAAAAGTACCGACGCGCTAACAGCAAAGAGCCGTCGGCTCCATAACTGCCGTTTTCTCAGTTGGAGCGTTTCAACCAACAGAGGGCGCACTTTTTCTGTAAGCGCTGCGTTTGAAACGGCCGTGGGGAAACTTCTGCCTCATTCAGGGTAGGTTTTGTTTTTTTTACAATGTTTTAGGGGGCTATAGCCCCCTTCGTACCCACCCCCGCCAATGAATTTTCTGTGGCTTTGACGTAAGATAAAATATGTTTTTGCTTTCTACATGTCAATGAGTACCCCTAGAACTATGAGGCTCCGCGTGAGCGGAGCGTCATAGTTCTAGGAGTAGTCAATGAGTATTCGGACAAATACCCTGTAATATTTGGGTGGAAATGGATGGATGCATTAAAAATGAGAGGGGATGCAAATTTCGAAGCTTATTTAATAGTTCTGTAAAAAGCGAGAGCGATGCCACAGCCAAGTGGTCGTAACCCCAGATTCTGGGGTAGGTCTAAACATCATGTCGGAATATGCGGAGACCACTCTTCAGATTAATATCCTCTGTGCACAGCATGCACAAACGTTTCTAAATATCTGCAATGTAAAACACATGCATGACAGGGCGAGCATTTACCCTGGTAACCTAGCCTGGTATTTTCTTTTCTCATGGTAATTTAAATGAGTAGTGTAAAATTTATTGAATATTCAGGTTTCAGTCTTCAAGTTATCGAATATTGCAAAAGCAATTTGCTTGTTGGAATATTGGAATAAACATGTATGCTGCACACACATACACTTGCCTGTGATTTTTAAATTTTAATGATCCATGAAACAGCTTATAATAACTACAGTACCGGTACATCTCAAAGCTTTTCCTGCAACTTTAACCAGTACAGTATGCAGTAGCAAATTTAAATTGAAGAAATGTTTGGCAAATGTCAAATATTTGAATATTTGTTCTAACACAGATTCTAGTGATCAAATATTAATTATTCGAAAATGAACAACACTAAATGACTATTTTTTGCGATTCCAGGATATTTCAGGATTCGATGAAATTGTAGGTGCCATCGATGGAACACACATCAGAATTATGAATCTTTCTGGAGGAGACCAGGATTATATAAATCGGAAGAAATTTCCCTCCGTACAACTGCAAGTGGTGGTTGATGACGAATTGCTGATAACCGACACCAATGTTGGATGGCCAGGTGGGTAATTCTTGGCTGGATTCAGTCCTGTAGGCTGTTCATTCTGCAACATGGCCAATTACAGGACAAGTATCTCTCAAGCATAAAGGTCACTGTGTACATGTACATAGTGTAGTCTACATGTAAAATTTTACAATGAAGTGTCATCTCGTTCCTTTACCATGATAATATTACATGAATCTTTGGCTCTCGGAACCAGCGTACGATTGTTAAGCTGGTTCAAAAAGAGCAAAGATTCGTGTAATATCATCAGGGCGGGAACATTAATAATTAGTTGAAGTGACGGCACATATCTGTAAATGTACAGTGGCATGGTCCCTCTGGTACTGAAAATTGGCAAGTGCCTCCATTACTGTAGTCTTTCTCAAAAATAGGTTGCCACTTTACAGCTGCCAGCATCTGTCTCCAAATGCAAATTCCATTTATAAACCGACTGTGCTGCAACCTGTCAAAGCTGCGACTGCCCCAGAGAAATTTTACAGTAATCTCGCAGTATTTAGCCAGAATGAGAAAGTCTCAACTATATCTCCCAGGTTTAATATAATAACAGTAGATCGCGCTTATCCATATGGTGATAATTGCCCTGCTCATTGGACCCATTAAATATTCCTCATGCATGTACCATCTCAGCTCTCAAGGGAGTATACATTCGATGCTGCTATTAAAGCACAAAGCAGCTAAATAGTGGCATTGCAGAACGAGCAGACCATGGACTGCTGTTTGATGAAGACCAGTTCCTTGTGGGAGATTCTGCCTATCCCCTTCGGCCATACTGATTACAGTGTTCAAGAACTATCACAATCTCACAAGACAGCAAAAGCAGTTCAACAAAAAGTTGTCTTCTTGCAGACAAGTTGTGGAGCGTGCAATAGGGCTAACAAAAGGACGCTTTTGCAGGCTACGAGAGGTGAACTGTCACCAGGTGAAATCTATATGCAAACTAGTATACTTCGGCATGCATATTACACAATATGTGCATTTTAGCCGATGATGACGTGGAGATCTTCGTTGAGGAAGAGGAAGAAGTGAACGAGTATCACAACATGTACCACAACCATAACTCTGGAGTTGATCTTCGCAATAGGCTGGTCGAAAGTATCCATTGAACTACATTGTAATCTCATTAACGAGTGAGAACATACCATTGATGATCCCTCATCATGGGTCAATTACAACCATTTTGATGGGGGAAAAGCCCCAAAACAAATCCTCTCCTATGACTGGAAGTAGTTTGTCAAAGGTGTGCATTATCTTATAGACAATCAACACTTGCCATTTCTCCAGAGGGGAAATTCAGATTTTTGGGTGGGGTTGATGTTAGATTTCTATTTTTTGGTCCTATTGTAGTGGTGGACAGGCAGGCACATAGGTCTCCTGATGATAAAGCTCACTACATGTACATGCATTTAAATACTAAATTATTATACTAAATTATTACAAAGCTCACTACTACTACTATGTAAATATTAAATTTTTAAACTTAATTATTGAAGAAAGGATACTGTATACTGTAGAAAGGATGAAAGGAAATGTAGAAAGAATGGTAGCTGTAGACAAGGTGGGTTCCCTTTTGTTTTTTTGAGTCTGTCTTGGGGAGGATAAATGAAGACTTAACTATGCGCTGACCAAAGACAATAGAGGGTATGCATATCGACGTCACACACTCAAAGAATGCCCTCACTGGCAGCTCACCGAAAGAGATTGACCCCCTTGGCCCTTCCTCCATCCTCACCTGCTTATTATTAGTATATTTGAACAGGTAATAAAAAAATTATAAACCAATTCAATTCAATTCAATTCAAAGGAAACATTTATTTCCATACTTTCAACAAAAAAGTGAAACTAAGTTTTTAAATACAAAAAAGGTAATTGAATACAGTAAATAAATAATTCAACAATGAAGTATAAAAAAAAATTGAATTAGGGTGAAGACTGTGTGAGATGAATAAAAACCAGCAAATAATATATTTCAATACCATACGTTTGCCTTCAATTCTTTGTTAATGTACAGTACTGTTTTTTTATATCACGTCCTTGGATAGTGCAATTTCATTGGTCAAGAACCGTCACGTGTCAGGGTGCCAGGATGCACTGTAACCCTACCGGTTAACATTAACACTGAACATTAAAAAAACTAGATCGTCTCACTGGTGTGCGCCAAAATTTAAGTTTTTATATGCTGGAGTGCGCGTCGGGAACAGTGAAACTCACCGCTGAAAAAGGCGATTCTTTACACGTACGTACGTGCCATGGAGAATCTAGTTGAAACAAGATTCTTCTACTTTCCAGCGCCAAACGGTAAATCACACTATCCAAGACGTGATATAACAAAACAATTGTTTCGCCTTGGGTGCCATTCGTTCCCTTGGGTGCACAAAACGCCATGTACCACATCACAGCGTGCAACAATTATATAATGTTATCTTTTGCACTGTGTGCACTACATGCAAGATATGATATGATATTCAACACTAATGCAACAACTGTAAATTTTCATATTAGTACATCTGCCTTCTAAATGTGACAGCCAAACGTTTTAAAGAAAAGCCATTATATACAACAAATGACCTGGGTCCAATTTCATGAAATCCGTAAGCATCTTACCAGTTAAATACCCTGTAAAATTTCCTGATACCATTGGGACTTATTCTCTGTTTAGGTTAATCAGGGCCATGAAATTGGGCTCTGATCAAAGATCCGGTACTAAGTGGAATGGAACACAGAATATTATGCATTTTTGCTCTTCAGGCCTCATTCTTTTCTAAGATGTCAAGAAGGCGGTCGAAACGTCGCATCTTTTCCTCGTGGCGACGATTTGCCTCTGCCCTCTGAACCTCTGCATATTTTTCAAGCCATGCAGTCGTAGGACTTTTCCTCCCAAGCTTCTTTGCCTTCTTTTTAGGGGCAACCTCATCACTAGCAGTAGCTAACTGACTAACAGCTGGGGCAGCAAGTGGGGCTGCCTGCTCCTCGTGGTCTGAAGTATCTGACTCGTTAACAGTACAAGCTGTGGTTCCTGAATCCATCACAAAGGCTGGCTTTGTTGATGGCTTATTCCCATACAGCTCATTGAATTCATTATAGAATTTACAGTCTTTCCTGTCATTCCCTGTTTTGGAATTGTGGTCTACTGTCTCCATGTATGTTCTTTTCAAGCTCTTCCATTTATTGGAACATTGCTCACCGCTACAGTCAATAGGCACTTATCTTGCGATCTCCTCCCATAAGGGTTTGTGGGCTTTGCATTGATGAAACCGGTAATCTCTTTCACTTCTCAAGCCAACTAGCACACCGGATGCAGAATCAGGCCAACACAGCGGGACTTTTTTGGCACTTCCTTTGATGTGGCTGTAACATCAAATGAAATTGTTAAGGTTAGCTATTGATCGTGACTTTTTTTTAAGCTGTTACAACAGAGCAATAGTGGCCATCTTGAAACAAATAAAAAATAAAAAGCGCCTCTTCCTCCTATTTTTCAAAAACCCGGACGAGAAACTTCTTACTTTTTACTCGGCCTAACAAGCCCCCAGATAACAATTTCATGTCATCGAAGTCAATTTCAGTAGTGAGAAAATACAAGCATTTTCTTAGAAAACACTTAGAATTTTTCAGTCCACTCTCATTATGGAAATCTTTCCTTAAATTCATCCCTGACCTGTCACGTGCCTGCTATCAGTAAACTGAACCACTTTATGTTTTCCCGTCAAAATATTAAATATAAAGGGTGCTAAGCCATGTCACCCTTTGTTGCGAAGATATTATTGGCAGCTTGTTGTCAACAAAAGGTCGTTAACATTTATATACAATTACACTACAAAACATTGAAGGCTCTATACTAAGAATAGGCATCAGGTCATGACATAGCCCTAGAGTACTCCTAGAACTATCAGAACCCCGCAAAATTGTTGTCAGCACAAAACACTAATTAAGTACAAACACTTGAAATTTGCACGCGCGCAGAATGATCGCAGTCATTTTCGGTCCGATCGCTCGGAGCGCGCCGCGGGGGTATGGTGTAGGAGCGGAACGATAGTATGCGCATGCGTACAAGTGCGAGTACGTACCCCCCGCGGCGCGCTCCGAGCTATCGAACCCGAAAATGACTGCGATCATTCTGCGCGCGTGCAAATTTCAAGTGTCAGGTTGGCTCAGTGCGGAAAAGGCATATTTTTCATCATGTTGCCGAAAAACCGACAGAATCCACCGATGTTTGTTGGTTGCACATAACGTGAGTATGTCATGAGGTATTGTACGGAGTTTAGGGGCAAACTGTGCAGCGGTTCTGTGGGAAACAGCTTGGTTGGGATAAACGTTTTTGTACTTAATTAGTGTTTTGTGCCGACAGCAATTTTGCGGGGTTCTGAACCTATGAGGCTCCACTACGTGGAGCCTCATAGTTCTAGGAGTAGCCCTAGAGTACCTACCTTGCCTTTCAATGGCATTCCAGGTTGGTAAATCCACTGTAAATGTGGCTCTCCCATCACCAAAATCTACGGTCACATCTCTAAAGTATCTGAAAGCAAATACACGTACACGTACATATTAAACACTCCCTTTCATGCTCCCCAATGTGCCCCCCCCCCCTCCCTCCCCACCTGAATTTAACTAAACTCACATGTATGATGTGTGGAGCCGCATATGGTGCAGTTTCCATTACAAATTCTACTAGCCGTTTTGTGACACTCACTCAGCAAGGCTTAAGCCATATGCATAACTACAGCTCACAATCAACTCTTTTTTGACTTAGGCATTGACCTGTCCAAGTCAATAGTCGAAAAAAAAAAAACGACCGACGACAGCTACAGCAAGCTCCAAACAAATTCACACATGTTTACCGTATTGTTACAAACATGACCATAAGCCACACAATATGACAAAAGACCGCCAAAACTCGTTGTTGCAAAACCGGACTATAATGGTATTCTTATTCCAATACTGAGTATTAGCAAAAAAACCCACAAAAACAACTTACGAATCTGCACAGTCCGCCATTTTGTTCAAGCTGCACCTTGCCGAACCCTCCATCTACCGGGGAGTGAAAAAATGGATCCGCGAACGCCCTCTCGGGTCTGTTCGTCACGTTCGAGACCGCTGTTCTCGTGTCGGGTTAACCCGAGTGTTGTCAAGAACAGGGATTCGAAAACGCCCTATGGCTGCACGTATTTGCGCGCTAGATCCATTATGTAGTTGCGTACATTGCGAGAACTAAACAGTGTCTGACAATGAATTTTGACCTGTCGATAGCTTCAAAAGGATTATCTGTTCAGTGTGGTGCAATCCTACTGGTCCCTAACGTCTTTCTTTATCGCACGTCATATAGTCCAGGAAATTTCAGAGCAGGTTATGACCCGCTCTTCGCGACATCGTCGTCGAAAGAAAGAGGGCGTTTGGTTTTCATCGATCCAGGTAGAAGGTTAACGCACTTGCATAGGGTTCGTTTTCCCGAGCGTTATGGGTTTGTTTGGACAGACTGTGGTTTTTAATAACGTTCGGAAAATTACGATAACGCGTGTCGCAATTGTGAGCGCCTGACAGCTTTATTAAAATCATCTGCAAATGATCTCAATTAGGCTATTTCACGGCCTATCCGCCGACTTAATGGTATATTTATATTTTAAACGTTTCTGGGGTTTTTTAAATGTTGACAAAATGTGACAGAATTGAATGACGTTTGCAACTTCGGAAAAAAGTACGGAACTGCTTTTTGAAGAAAAGAACTGCTTTGTCCTCCCAATCATAAAAACGTAGTCACGGGATCCTTCTCTGATATGGACATGCTGCACACCATTATTTGCCGGCTGTGCTTGTGTTACAATCATATTATTGAGATTATTTTTTTGCGAGGTAGTCATGTCCGTCCAAAACCAGTGACGTTTGAGACTCGGAAAGTCCAGTTTTGATGAAGTTAGAGGACCCAGGGGAAAGAAAGTATGTGTGATAAATATACATATCCTAAACACCATCCCACATTTATAGGAGCCAGTTACAGCACACTGTATAAGAAATAACAGCAAAGAGAATCAGACGGCACTACATCTCTGTTTTTTGTGAAACATGCCTAATACACAGACTTAATAGGACATCGCGCCGTGTTTGTGCACGAATGCGCGGCCGAACAATGGCGGCGCGTTTACTGTCAGACGGGTAAACGCGCATTGTGCTTTCATTTTGTTTACTTTGGAAAATGGATTATTGAGTGACATCATTCATTCATTCATTCATTCATTCATTCATTATTTTTACCGCATCTCATTTCATTATGTGACAAGGCATAAATACATACATGTAGTTTTGGGTATTATAAAGTTCGAGCTTGTTTTACAAAATATATTTATACACTTTGGGCGCATTATTTTTGTAATTAGAGATGGTAGAAGGGGATCCCCAAAAAAGCGGAGCTTGTCGAGTAGAGATCCCCTTTAACAAGGATTAATACAAACATTTAATGAAAAACAAATGAAAAACAATTGAACGTATAAATTTTAAATTGTACATAACACATGGAAAAACATAATATTGCTGATCAGAAAAAAAGAAAATACAGAGTAGTAACCCAGTAAGAAGATTAATCTGAGCTATTATAATTTGATAGTAAATTCGATTTAAGTTTGGATTTAAATAATGGAAGGCTACGAGTGCCCTGGAGTCATTTCTGACAGGAGGGAGTTCAAGCGCTCTTCAAAAACAATCTTTAAAAAAAAATAACTGAACGATGAAGATGAGTTACCCTCAATCCCTCCAAACAGCTTTTCCACACTTTCTTGATATACACTTTCTTTATTATGCATTTTCGAAATTCAAGAAACCCCCCCCTTTTTCTTTTCACTTATATTTTTTTAATCCCTCCTCCTCCCAAAAATGATTGTAAGTAAATTGCCATTTCATTTTTGGCACATTGGTCATTAGAGCACACTGAATTAGTCCATCAATGAAATGATTATTGTATTAATAATATGCTGAAATGACATATTTTTTAACTGAACACTCACACGAGAAATTGTATTGAGATTTATTCAAATAAATGATATATTTATTAAAAACCCGAACATAAACCAATTACAATCTAAAAGGTAAGAAAAAAACCTTAATTTTACAAAGTAATCAGTAAAAACTTCTTCCCGTCCCTAGATTGATCAGGGAATAACATCGTTCACCTCTTGTGATATTGTGTGAAAGGAGATGAATCACAAACCAAAATTCTATTTTTGTCAAAGAATAATTCAAGCTACGCACGGTCTTGTTTTTTAATTAAATGTTTAGCTATACTTCTGAAAATAAATATAATTACTTGTAAGTGTAATGGGAATCGTTTTTGTGAGCGAATATGACGGTGTATTAATGGCTATAGCTACTAATCTTATATAAAGGCGCACACAATATTATTTTAAACTGTAAAAGTACTCATTGCTTTCTTCACCATACAAACTGTCAATAATGTGTCACTCATCTTGGGAGCTCACAAGAATACTTGCGTTGAACTCCACAGCTTCTTTCCAAAAAGAAAATCAATCAATGTTAACAGTTCCACATCGTGAAAATTGATTAAGTCACACTCTCAGATGCCTATCACATTGCATGTTCCATTCAGTGGATGATACAGTTGATTCCATCCCTCCGTGAAGTTCTCCATTTTCGTCCGTCTCGGATATCGTCTTGCAGCTGGTGGTTTTTGCTATGGCTTTGCTGAAGTTCTTTGTTTGATATGAAGGTCAATCTGCCGGTTGTGCAGTAATTTAGCATAAACCATCTCCTCGGTTTCTCTTTATAAAGAAGAAAATAGAAACATTTTGGGTAGGCGTTTAAGGCAGATATAACTCAATCAGATTTTGCATATAAAAGTTATAAAAGTTATTCGAATAAACTATATTAAACAAGTCAACTTTTGTTCATTTGCCATTGCCGGGTCAGTCATGCACGTTTAGGCTTATGTCTTTTAAAGAAAAATGATGCCGAATATCTCGCTATAGCTACCACACAGGCCTCCATCCCCTCAATCTCACAGCGACATTAACGGTATCATAATTTGCTTTGTCTGGCGTTCCCATGCTCATATTCCTCCATGCCATGTTGTATAGGCCTCGTTAAAAAATAACTTACTTGCGAATATTTGTCCAATTCTTCAACGCTCCTTACTTCCCGACTCCAGCAATCTAATGCTGCGCACACCTTGACTATACTCCTCGTCGATTTTGATCAATTTAGATTTCTGTTTCTTTTATTCTTTCAAAAATGACAAAGAAACCGAAGAAAACCCAACTTCATTTGTAAATCCTCCGTTCGAAAGTGTACACAATACGAATGCGAATTTGTGTTCTTTACCCTTAAAAAAAAAACGCACGCGC